GATACGTTGACAACCGTGTCCTTCTCTTACCAAAGCACCTGACACGACTTCCTCCTTTTGTACAGCTCACAGCTGCAACCTTTTACAAACCACCGGTCCAGCTTGAAACTGAACCGGCGGACGTTTTCCTGGGCTTCGCTGTTAACCCACAACGCAGCAGCCTCACTTACCAGTGCAACCTACATCGGGCCGACATTTTACATCCGCAAGCGTCCACCTCCAGCGCAACACTACGAAGCAGCTATGAGGCACGCACCCGTATGATCCGACGGGTAACCACACCTAGCAATGAAGCCCAACATGCCATTCAAGCCATGCGCGATTTGTACATTGCGGCCGGCTACAAGGATCGACAGCTGTAAGAAAAACAGCAGGCACCGTTGCTCGGAGTTGCGTTCGTGTTGCATCAAGCACTCCGCATTTGCACCTTACAGCTGAGCTGTACCGCCGCCGTTTTCAGTGTTTTGCATTTCCAACATGTACAAAAGTGCCATGACGGGCAGATTGCAGCCTCGGCACAAAGCGCTGGGAATCCGACCTCCCCAGTCGGCTTTCTCCAAGCCAAACAAACGCGGACGCCACCAACCATCCACACGCAGCACGGATCCGCCGACAGTTGCACTCCGCTCTCAGATACTGCGGGTGGCAGAACAGCAGGAGGAAGACCAACAAGATGATCAACAACATCAGGATTCAATGGAAGATCCTGAAGAACTCGGTCAGCCTCACGTTCCCGGACCAGCGACTCCTCCTGGAGCACCACCGGGGACAACAAGCACCGCTGAGATTATTAATTTACTGCGTCAGTTTCACAATTCGTTGCTTGAGTCGAATGACAAGCTCGAACGCTTGATACAACAAGCCACGACAGTTTTGACGACTCAACATGAAGCCACTACCGCAATCATGGCTTCGTGTAAACAGCAACTCGATATTCTCGAGAGTCTGCTAAGGCAGAACACGCCAGACTGGTCCTAAGTGTGGATGAGAACACCAGATCACAAAAAGACGCACTTCTTCATGTATGTTGTTGTAGCCACTGCACATCGGTTTATTTCTGTCTTGCATTTGCAACCACAAGTGCTCCAGCAACAGTTCTGATTGTAGCCAGCGACTTATCAGTCTTCCATTTGGAAGCCATGAGCGATGCATCCAATCCGACACAGACCACAACTACAGACAGTCAGGAAGCACGTCGAGAAGCTCTCAGCCAGGCTCTCTTCGAGATTTTGACGGAACATCGAGAGCACGACTCTGAGAACAACAGTGAAGGCTCTATGTTCAGCGACGAGACATTCCGTGATCAGCTGGCCGAGTTTATTCTGCAAACAACTCAACAAATTGCAGAATTGAAAGATCGAGTTGACAAACTCGAAGCTCTGATTCAACAGTAAAGACTGTTGATCAACATGCAGCACAGGATGAATCTACTACTGTGCGAACCAAAACATGTTGCTTGCACTACATGATGCAGTTTGAATGCTGCACATCTTTTGCATTGCACATTGAGCGTGAATATTCATGCGATGTTGACCGCAGCCATTTAAGACCAGCTCGTTGTGATACCATTATGGAGCGACGCACTCGATCCAGATCTCCACGCGCAGCGGAATGGAGATGGCATTGGGCCACCAACGGCTCTTCATGGTGGCGAGAATATTTTATCGCCTCTCAGGAGTGGATTCGCAACCACTCACAAGCACAAGATCGACGTGCAACATCCTCCGGCACCACTACGCAGGAGGTGGAATCCGACACCACCACACCTACTTCCAACAAGAGAAAGAGATCTCGCACTCCATGAGTACCAGACTGAGTTGATAATTCATTGCACATTTGCTGCTTACAGCAGTCACGTTACACAGCAAAGCTGTACTTGCACATCTACTCAAGACAAGATGTGGAACCCTCATTAAGAGCATCAACAAACAATCGGCTTTGCAATTCTTCCATGTTGGCATTTGACTTGCATTGCGACCAAATCACACATCACATGTTTTTCGATTGCCTTCCGCAGCCATCTGTTCACTTATACATAGGCAGTTGCTATGGCATCACAACAGGAAGGTGACGACATCAGCTCTTGGGGATCCGACGAACCAGAGGCCTTCCTTACAAAAGATGCCTCACAGCATCAGTCGACTTCAAGCAACACCTTGGCAATCAATGCAAACGGCGGTACAACAACGCCGACTATTATTGACAGAACAACAACAACTGGCTTTACAGCCAAATGCTCATCCAGCCACAAGAAGCCCAAGAAACTCAAACTCGTTGACAAAAAGACCAAGAAGAAGAAAGACAAGAAACGCAAGCAACCACTTACTACTGCGTCTTCAGCATCACCTACACGGAAACAACGTCACAGACAGCGGAAGACAACAAGGCGAAGGAGAACACCCTCTCCGCGATCAACGTCATCAGCTTCACCTACAGCAACATCAAACAGAGTCGATGACCGTTGCCGCTCACCTTCTCGTGAGCCTTGGTCTTCAGACTCCATTGCACCTTACGACATGGTGCATCCACCTATTATGTACAAACGTTCTAAGACTGCTTGTGCTAAGATGCTCGTACGAGCGGGATACAGATGCCGTTGTCATTTCAAGGTGCTGAGCGAATGTCCCTCCAGGACAGCCATAGGACCGTGACAATTTTCGTGAGACCTTGGAGCACCAAGGCCCGAAGCTGTGCAGGAAAAACAGATGCATTTCCACACATCGTTGTGACACTCTCTCTCTCTTGCTTCACCTTATGTTTGTTTGCCTGACTTGTCGAAGCATTTTTCAGGCAGTAGCAGCCACCCAGTCCACACCATGCCAAAGCGAAAGGCTAGTGAAGCAGGCCTTCCATGGTATTCTATGCGAGGTCAGTGCTTCCGGATGACGGTTGAAATACCACCTGACCGCATCACCAGGGACAAACATATGTCCATACACGTGGTGCTTTGTCTTGGCGACAACGTGCTTCAAGCACGGAAGATCTTCTCCTATCGCATTAAGGAGATCACCGGAAGAATACCAGAAATTTCTGCATTCTTCTTCGAGCAAAACCGACGACGATTACATGATTGGGATTCGGTCACTACTTTGGCTGCTTTGTTGCCAGTGCTTTTCGTTAGGACAATTTCCGATCAGGAATTGCGACAGGCACCCGGACGTTGCTGATGGCGATAAAAGAGCGTCCTTTTCTTTCGACTGCTTCATGCTGTCCACATCCAATAGCAATATTCAGCCCCAACAGGGGCTGTGTGTGTGTGAACCTCCCTAGCACATGGGAGCAGAGGGTCACTCCTTATTGCTTGCATTTTCACAGTATTTTCAACGAAACACATGTGGACAAACGCCATAACATTTGCAGGGGGCATGCGGCCATTACGCAAACGCATGCCAACGAAGCTATGCGTAATGGTGGATACCAGACCTGATCAGTCTGGCGTACCTGCACAAATGAGCTGGGGCCCCTGAGCCAGCAAGATTAGCGGGCCCCTGTGCCAAGATTAGATTTTCAGTTGCCACATTTGTCGATTGAATGGACAGCAAACAAGTACAACAGCCTCTCTTTTTCCTCTTGCACTCGTACTCTTGGCCGAATCAGTCAGTGTGTATGTGTGTGTGTATGTGTGTGTGTGTGTGGTTGTGAGTGTGTGCGGGTGCATGTATGGGGGTTTCCCGAGAATAGGGGTACCTTGTTCTGCGGTCGTTATAATGAGGATCCTACTATTTACGGTACTGCATTAGGGTCCCCTGTTTTCGGAAACTCCCGTATAGACGCATGCATTAGAAGCTGCCCCCACCCTGTAATAGTGGTATAATAGGAATATAATAGGGCCCATATATACTCCTATATAATCCTTATGGTCATTATTACAGGGTGGGGGCAGCTTCTAACACATACATCTACAGCCCCGGAGCCCGAACTCCCAGAAGAACAAAGCATCCTCAGCCTTGCAAATGGGGGGTTATCTAAAGTACGGTCCCCTTTAGGGCGTTTTTTTTTATATATGGGAGTTTCCGAAAATTAGGGGACCCCAATAGAGTACCCTAGATAGTAGGTCCTTGTTGTGAGGACCCCAAAATAAGGTGTTCTTCATTTTCGGAAACTCCCAGATAAGAGTGCCGCCTCCTTTTGGGTTCCGACCCTCGTTTACAGACTACCGATATCCTTTTGGCTTCAGGCCATTGGCTGTAGGTTTCGCCGGGGGAGGGGCGGTTTAGGGTTTAGGGTTTAGAGTGTGGCAACGGTTTGGGGTTTAGGGTTTAGAGTGTGGCTACGATTTAGGGTTTAGGGTTTAGAGTGTGGCTACGGTTTAGGGTTTAGGGTGTCGCCGGGGGATGGGCGGAAGGTCAAGGGCGCTTTCATGCTAACTTATGAAGCCAAAGGCTTATTAGTCGGTTCAAGGGTTGAGGACCTTCAAGTTCCTAAAGTGTTCAATGCCCTACAATTCCACTAAAATCCATGACTCTAGACTAGTTATGGGGTCATACCTTACGATAGTGAAGGGCTTAGGAACCTTTAAATGCCTGAAGCTATCTGTTTTCTCATGGTCGACAGTCTGTTGCTCTCGGTTTTCTGTGTCGGGTTTTGTGTCTGGGCTTCTGTTTCTTCGCATGGAGACTTACTTGTATGTTCTTTTGAGTATCAAGGCCTTTTTCGTGCTATTGTGCATTTCTTATGTTCACCAGCGCGCCTGGTGTCGCGGTGGTCACTTGAACTTTCCTGGCCACTTGCCGGTCTCCTGCATGTTAATCATGAACGCGAGGCTGCGCGGACACCGCAGCTTTCGGGGATCAAGGCAGGCAAAGGCCCCTCTCTATAGGAGCTGCCTCGGGTTCGAACAGCTCCACCTACCATCGCTTCTGATTGGGGTGTGTGTAGGAGTCCTAGCTGGCCCGGTGATTGACATTCTCTGGCTGGCGTGGCGGCGGTGGAGGAGGTTCGTGAATTGAGCTCCTAGAGGAAAACGCTCCCAGGCGAGTCCCCTTGCATAAGGTCCTTGCATGAGCAGTCGGCCTAACATCGAGGTTGAAGAGTTGCGCCGCAAGATCTTCGATCTTGAAGTTCTCGTGCAGTCGTTGCAAGACCGCATCGAGGTTCTGGAGGGTGAAAAGATTCCAGTACATGGGCAGAGGGTAAAACGACTCCAGACCGTCGTCGGCTTGAGTTTCTCGTGCTGCCTCTCCGGCAGAGGTCGATCAGTTCGGTGCGCGAGCCAACTGCGAGGGACCTTCTTGGGCGGAAAGAGAGGACATAGCTGAGGGCATCGGCCAGTTCATCAAGAGGGCGCTACAGGGAGATTATCGGGGTAGCTCGGGACGTGATCGGTTAAAGCTTGCGTCAAAGTACTACCTCATCTTCCGAGATCGGGACGGCTTGCACACTTTGAAGGTCAGGATCGAGACCAGCTTCAAGGCAGTGAAGGGCTGTTGTTTCGCCGAGGGTAAGGTTGCTGATCATACGGTGTTTGTGGGAGTCCCCAGCTTGCGAGAAGCGCGAATCGTGGTTAGGGAGGCCGGCCGACGGCGTTCTACCAACCGGCTTCTCGGAGCTATGAGCGGTGCGCCTGGCAGTGAAGAAAGCGGTGGAGCTGACGAAGCTGACGGAGAAGCTGTGCAGCTCCAAGATTTTGCTATCCAGATCGGGGAAGAGCTTGGCTTGGATTGTCCCATCGGAGTTTTGGCTGTGGGTGACGGATCGAACTCTCTGACCGCGGCCTTGGTAGGAATCTCTTTGGAGGGTCCCTCTTCTGCTTCCCAGGACCAGATTGGCATCGAAAAGCGACTAACCGCTTGTTGCCTCCAGGGTCTTTCCGCAAACCCGTGAAGTTTGCCGTGGCGGCATGCGAGGGAACGGAGATGCAGGCAAAGGCCGGAAATCAGACTATCGTAGTCTGGCTGGGCTACCTGACCGAGTCGTTGGCCGACTTCAGCGACACTCACCGGGCTACGGTGGGCTTCGGCACGGCCGAGAATCCGAACCTCCCCTTCGCTGCGGCCCTTGTGTGTCCGGCCGAGGACAAGTTCCGTTCCCGACCAGGGACCGGCTCCGGTCCAAAAGGACCCCTAGGCTTCCCGCCTAGATGTTTTGGAAAAGGGGTTTTTGCAGGTTCAAGCTACGTTAAAAAAATTTCTTCAGCAGCAAGGGCCCCCCGATGAGTTCCTCAGCCGCAGCTCCGAAGGGCAAATGCTTCAACCGTGCTCGGCGGCGAAGACCTTCTGAAAGGGCTGGACCCGGGAGTGGTGGCTTCTGCTAAGGCATCGGGTATCAGCACCCAAAGCCTGGCAGAGTTGGCAAAGGTGCTCGCGGGCCCGGGCAAGCTCGAGGACGTGCCTCGGGCTCGGATCAAGAAGACCTCAAAAGGCGCCCTATCCGAAAGAAACAAACGCCCGCCGAACCGTCAGCTCAGATGGCTTTGGCCGTGACCCAGCTCACGAAGGTGGTGAAGCATCTCGCGGCAGAGAAGAAGAAGCCAAAGAACCCATTGGAGCAGCTGCTGGACGGCGTGTGTCCTCGGGGCGTCAGGGGAAGCCAGCATCAGTGCGGGCCGAACGGGGGCTGCGGCCCTAAAGGCCTTGAACACAGCTGTCAGCGAGAACCCGACATACCTGTACAAGACGATCGAGCACAACCTTCGGGAAGACTTGGAAGGTCGTACTCTTGGGCCAGGTGCCGGAGACGGGAGCGGCGGCAGCTCGATACGGGGTTGGCTCGAGCACCGGAGCAAAATCAACCAGTACGGGACGACCAGATGGTCTTGGATACTGGGAGGCGTATGGCAGAGCCTTATAGACGGCAAGGTCGAAGAGGCTCGGGCGCGGTGCGCTCTCGGCGTAGCAGCTGCCGATCAGAGTGCCGTAGACAACTCGTGGATGACTGAGACCCTTTGGGGCGTTCTCTTAGCACAAGCCCCCCACTGCAACAGAGCTGCATCACAGCGCTTTGCTCGACGGCCGTTGGGTGGAGGTTTACCTGAATCATATTAAGGACCTGGATGCTTTCCAAGAAGCTCGGAGGCGGTTGAGCAACAAGCAAGAAGGGGGTGGAGATGGCGAGACCAACGGGGGCAAGGGCTCTTGGCAGACGGACGAAAAAATCGAGAAGCCCGGCAAGGGCCACAAGACCGAGAGACCGGGCCGCAAAGGGAAGGACAAAGGAACCGGAAAGGGGGCGGCGGCCCCAGCCCACGATGCCTGAAAGGTGAGCGCAAAGTCGGCCAGGCTAGTGTCGGACCCGGGCCTTCCTCCGTTACGGGAGCTGCCGAAGCGCCTGTTCCCTTGCATGGCCGACCGCATGCACAATTTCGAGTTCCTGGAGCCCGGGCATCGACTTTCAGTGGGAAGGACTTTATCAACTCGTTCTTCAGACGTTGCTGAGGGTCGATTGCGGCTTTGGGTTTTTCGCACGCTCCATGGCGAACCACAGCTATGCAGATTCTTGCACTGCCTTCTCGTGGTCTGCAGGATTCCCTATGCCCTTATCGTATGTAGAGGCCTCTACTGTAGAGGTGATGCAGAGCGAGGCCAGCGGCCTCGCCGATGAGAATCTTGTAGCGATTAAGCGGGGGGGGGTGAACGCAGTCGTTTTGGCTTTGAATTATTTCCACCTCGGTCGGCCTCGGCGTGCTCCTGTCTCGATACGGTTGGGAGCGAGGCTGGGCCGCGGGCAATGGGAAGCCGTGCATCGTATTCAGACTTTTGTCGAGGGGTGGATTGTAGCAGACTCTATAGGACCAGAAGAGATGGGCAGAAATGCCGGAAAGGTAGAAAGCATTGAAGACATGATCCATGCCATCGAAGCCAGAGCTAGAGATTTCGGTTTGTCCGATGTGGGCTACATGAGCTCTGGAAGCACCGCTCGCGCCGAGTCCGGGGGAACCACCTGTGCAGCAGGACAGGTAGTTGGAAGGTCTGATCATGAGGGCTATGCCGCGTTCAAGCCCATCGAACCCGCCAGATTGGCATTTCACGGTTCGCCTTCATTTGATCCTAGGCCCTACTTGGACCCTCTCACTCGGGCGATCTTCGAAGACCCCGTGCAGTTTGCAATCCAGCCTGAAGAATATCATGGGAATCTCCCTAGACTTCGAGTGCATTGCTCCTATGATAGGAAGATCCAACTGTTCAATCTCCTTGATGCCTCCAGTAGACTTCGTCTGGTGCCCCCTGAAGATGTCAATCCCAAGCTATGTGCAGGACTGTTTAGCGTGGTGAAATCGAGCAAGAAAGACAGACTCATACTGGATGCAAGTCCTCGGAATTGCTTAGAACTGCCGTTGGAGCGATGGATCGGCGCTCTGGCAGGTGGTGAGGCCCTGTGCAACATCGTAGTGCCTGTCGGTTATGTTTTGAAGAGCTCTTCGAATGACTTACGCGACTTCTATTACTATTTCGCGGTGTCTGATGCCAGGTGCCGGAGGAACGTGCTCTGCGGCGCAGTGGAGACCTCGAATGTCAAGCACCTAGGATGCTTCGAGGAGTCGATGCTAGGCTATCCGAGACTTTATGGAGCTCTGAACAGCCTCGCGATGGGAGACCTTCAAGCAGTTGCTTTAGCACAAACTTGCCACCTTGGCATGGCATTCCAGCGTAGGATTGTTGAAGAGAGCCAGCTCGTCATTGGGCGTGGCCCCATCCCTCGAGGTCCAGACTACTTCGGAGTCATAATCGACGACTTTGTGGGTGTCTCAGCCGTGGCCTCAGGAGATTCGAGGCCGTCGATGGGGGCGAGGAGGTCGGATGAAATTGAAGACGTGTACAGGAAAGAGGGTTTAGGGCCGAAAGAGACTGTGAAATCGGACAGTTGTGGGGAGTTCACAGTTGGATGGCCGCCGCGGGATCCTCAGAGGTTCTATGAAGCGAGCGATCCCGCTGGTGGGGATCGCGGTGAAGGTCGCCAGGCTCGGATACTGCACCGTGGAGCTCGCTCAAATCCTCACTGGCTCTTTCATTTCCTTGCTTCCGTATCGGCGGAGGTTCTTGTGCATTATTGACGCGCTCTTTGAGATCAGCCGTGGCCGGAGTCCGAGGGATGTGGTGAAACTGAATGCAGGAGCGAGCTTTTGCTGCTTGCGGCCATCCTCCCAGTTGCATGCACTAACCTCCGAGCTCAAGTATCTCCCAGGATCACGGCTACCGATGCATCCCAGTGGGGTGAAGCGGCCTGCACCGTCTGGTCCTGCGCATTAAGCCGGTGTGGGCAAAGCTCCTACCTCCAGGCAAGGCCTGCGAACGGGTTCATGGACGGCTCCCGCCTCAGGAGGAGCTTCCTGGTGAGCGAGAGGAGTTCGTTTCGAATCCTTTGCGGGAGATTCTTGCCGAGTCTCTTGACTACCGGCTGCTCTACAGTCGTCAAGCGCCGCGGCCTCGCCACATTGGCGAGCTTAGGGGCATGTTGCGCGCCGAAAAGATCCTGGGCAGGCGTAGCCGCAGCAGACGAAAGATATACGGCATGGATTCGCAGGTGGCTCTGGGTTGTCTCATAAAAGGCAGAAGTTCGTCCCAATCTTTAAACAAGGAGCTCGAGCTTTCCCTCGCCGACATGATCGCTTTTGATGTGTGTGCAGACGGCATTTATTTCGAGCCGATGAAGGTCTTACGAGCATCTTTGGAGCCGAGCGGGAGATCTCCGTTAGTTCCTCGGAGAAGAAGCGCAATGACGATTAGAAAACGGTGAAGGCTGCTCTGGGTTGTTTCAGAGCCTCTCAGGTCGTGCTCAAACCCGGTTTGGCATGGGCCCGCGGATACGAAAGGCTATCTGGATCTGTATTCGGGGTCTCGAGGGGTGGCAAAAGCTTTAGCGAAGAAAGGCGCAGCGTGGTGCCTTTGCTTCGACATTATAAGGATGGGCCAGATCAGGACTTGGAGTGTCCGGAGCTTCGATCCAGGATCGAATGGCTCATCCGAGCAGGTGCATTTGTCGGCCTGGGGGCCGGTCCAGATTGCTCTTGACTCTAGCTTTTCCATTGCTGTTACATGAGTCGCTCCTACGGCAAAGCTGGAGTCTCCGAGAGCATGAACGAAATGCTATGAAGAGGCAATGATCATGGACTCTGGGTTCTTCATCTTTGTCGTCTCGCCTGTGATCGCGGACTTGGTTTTTGGGTGGAAAATCCCGCGAGCTCCTGGTTGTTTGAGGTCCCAGAATGGTCAGCCTGGGTCGAGGCCGCTTCTGGCGTCAAGGCCTGGGTGGTTGATTACTGTCGTTTCAATGCCCCGTGGCGTAAACGGTCGCGCTTCCTTTGCAATCTCAGCATGAGAGACTCCTGTACCCTGTGCTCTCAAGATCATTGTCATCAGCGATTGCCGGGGCGATCATCGCTTCATAAACAGGCCTGGACTCGCCTTGCCCAAACCTATCCCAGAGGCGTCGCTGCTGCCGTTGCTAATTCTTTGCTGGCCTTATGCAGTGGTGCAAGCCAGCATGGAGCGTCTCCAGGAGCGAGTTTGGGCTGGGTTCAAGCAGTGGCTCTCCGCGCGTGTGTCTGACTCTGTCAGTGGCGATGTGTTTCGTCTGCCTGCTTTGGTCGCTTTGTTCCTCAAGGAATACGGTTCCTGCTTGTATTCGGCGGGCGAGCCTATTCATTTGTTTCGACCTCTGCTTTGCTCTGGCCCTGCGCCAAGTCGTGGGCTTGAAACCTTATATGACGATCTGCTGGGACCATCTGAGCCGCTGGGAACGTATTGAGCCCACAGAGCATCGGGTACCGGTGCCCACCGCTGTCGTTCAAGCGATCATGCAAGTGGCTATCCTTTGGGGATGGTTGCGCTTCGCCGCTACTGTAGGTGTCATCTTCTACGGCATCGCTCGTCCTGGCGAGGTACGGTGGCCCTGCTGATTCTTTTCCGGGACCTCTTGCTAGATACAGCAACCGAGTGTTAATTGAAAATCCCCGAGCCAAAGGGCCGTCGGGGCAGCAAGGGCCGCATGCAGTACGCCAGCACACGCCGCTTGATGTTGTCTTCGGGGGCTTAGACGAGTCCGAGCCCCTGTTCCCGGCTTCAGCCCCCAGCTTCCGACGTCGATGGGATCGTGTTCCAATCTGACTCCCGGCGGGCTTCGGGGCGGCGGCGCAGTCCATGCCTCTCGAGGAGGTGAACCCCTGCCTCATCTTCTGTGGAGGATGCGTTTGAAGATGTTTGAAGCACCTGGTGACACTCGAGTCCTATTTGCAGGAGGGGGTTGCGTTGAAGGTGCTGCCCACCTTGCATGCAGAAGCAAGACATCGCGTATCTGCTGCTTCAGCTCTCTCCCCTGTCGTCCTTGGAGCAGCGGGTTGTCCCTGAGGAGCCTTTGCATAGCTTGTCAGGTCACCTCCTCTTTTCACTCAGGGCTTCCTTCATAGATGGATAGTCGACTGCGCAGTCCCGCTCTCCATTTCGCAGCTTGCATCAGCAGCATTTCTTGAGCCTGAGGCTCTGTCCTACGGTGCATGTGTGCTGCATGTCTGCTGCGCTGCGGATAGAGAAACTTTACGTTGTGGCACTCGCTTGGAGTACAAAGTGCCCTGGTCCTCACTGGTCGTTGTCGTCCTGGTCTTCGTGCTCGTTCTGGTCGCAGTGCTTTGATGTTTAAGGTTACCCTGTTATACAACCAAAATCAAAAAAGCAACTCCTGAGTCCTGAAACCGTATGTTAAGGTGAGGTTCGCGGGTTTGCGAGCGCCAAGCGGCATCCTAAACCGTGGAGCAGGGTGGGTCAAGAGTTTTTTGGGTTTTCTGCGCTATTATGCTTTATCGTTAAACCACAACCCTAAACCCTAACCTCTAAAATCTTAACCCCTAAACCATGCAAGCCCTAAGACCCTAAACTCTAAACCTCAAAACCTTCCCACCTCGACTTGCACAGTCGCTTCGAGTCCTTATTTGGCTTCTGTATATGGGTCCCAGTATTTGGGGGTCATAGGGCCAGGGATTCTTGATTGGGGATTATAGGGTTTAAGATCATCGGGACCGTGTGCCATGTGGAGACTGTTTGCCATAGCTGTGGCATTGCTTGTGACGCTATTGCCTCTGTGGCCCTCCCAGCGTCACTTTGCCCTCCTGAGCTGCATCTGGGCTGCGGAACGTTTAGGGTTTGGTTTGGGGTTTAGGGTTTGGGGGTGTAGAGCCTGACATAGAGCCGTAAATAGTTGCCTAGGCTCCTGAGCAGTTATTATCCCTTTTGCCTAGTTTATTGAAGGGCCCGTTTATTAAAACGGACTGTTATTAGGAAAGCGTGTCCCCCCATTATTAAGGGGTGACGGGGGAATGTCGAATTCTTCTTTAGGTGTCCATTAAAACAATACGGAGCTATTCTAATGGTTAGGCCCTTATGTTTGTTGTTTTGCACATCTTTGGGCAGGTAGGAACTATGGTAAAAAATTGCGCGCGTGCCTTGATTCGGAACCCAGGCAAGCAAAATGATTGCTTCGGACATGGTGAGAAGCACCCTGAACACAGAGGCACCAACAGTTTCTTGCCTGTTGCGGTGCCTTCGGACTCAAGCCAGCAGCAGATCATCACCAACTCAATTGTTGCTTTCGGCATGCCGAAAACGACAACCGGCTCTATCCGGACCAGCACGACTTCTCCCGACAGCCGGAAGACGACAACGGGCTCTATCCGGACCAGCACGACTTCTCCCGACAGCCCGCAGACGACAACGGGCTCTATCCGGACCAGCACGACTTCTCCCGACAGCCCGAAGACGACAACGGGCTCTATCCGGACCAGCACGACTTCTCCCGACAGCCCGCAGACGACAACGGGCTCTATCCGGACCAGCACGACTTCTCCCGACAGCCCGAAGACGACAACGGGCTCTATCCGGACCAGCACGACTTCTCCCGACAGCCCGAAGACGACAACGGGCTCTATCCGGACCAGCACGACTTCTCCCGACAGCCCGCAGACGACAACGGGCTCTATCCGGACCAGCACGACTTCTCCCGACAGCCCGCAACAGGAAGATGCCCGAACTTGCAAGCATGATCTATCAGGCAGGTTGTACCGCAAGGCTCGGAATTTCCAGGATGACTATGTGGCCACTGCAGGACTGATGTTGGTGGATGCTTTTGTGCATCCTTCAAAGCACTTCGCATACGTCTTGTTCAGTCGCCAGAGGGGCGACGCGAATGGTCCAGGTTTTGTGACAGGTCAGGAGCAGCTCCGCTTCGCCCGGCACGTGTCATTTAACTGCTATTGGGTCTCACCTGAGAACCCCTCGCAGCTGCTGCACATGGCATCAGATTCGAGCTGGCAAAACAGGACCTACAAGGGTCAAAAAGATGACCTCTACCAGTTAATCACGGCGAAGTGCGATGCTGGTAACGTTGCCGCTGGTATGCTTCAGGAACCTCTGCTGATGAACATCACGGCCACAGCTGAGGGCAAGATTCTGGCACGTTGGGAGAATGTTATGGTATGTCACGAGCCCCTTTCCCCGACCCCTGTCCGCTCGATCGTCTGCACCGCGGCCCTGCGGGAAGGGAGGAATCCGCACTCTGGAGCCGTGTACGAACCGAAGAGCATGGACCCGTACATCAAGAATTGGGTGGAATATAGCCTTGGAATCGGCTTCGACATGGTCTTGATGTATTTCGAGGACCAAGACCTATCCCCGATGGAGGACGGTTGAGGGTTTAGGATTAGGGTTTACGGTTACGGTTTAGGATTTCGGGTTCACCAAGACCTATCCCCCATGGAGGACATGCTTCGGCCCTATATCGACTCCCACAAGGTGGTACTGGTCAGGTCCTATTTCCACGGCATCACTGGTCATGGTTGGAGCCCATTGCTGTATTTGCAGGAGTCTGGGTGGTGACGAACTGGTCCTGAAATTCTGAACCCAAACCCCTACTGCATTGGATTCAGGGCTTGGGTTTCCGGGAGCCTATGATGTTGGGCTGAGTCAGGCTTTCGCCATCTTGTCACTTGATAAACCTGCCACTACCCATAGGCTCCATAGCAGTTCCTTTTTGGGGATAGCTGGGTTACCTTATAGGATTCTAAATATGAACCCCAAAAGGAACTACTATGGAGCCTATGGGTATTGTGTTGATGAACGTTGCATGAATCAGTGGGCGAAAACTAGCCCTTCTCACGACGGTCTAAGCCTAGCTCACGTTCCTGATTGCACCTCAAGCCCCTGCAACCGAAAAGCTTCCTAACATACAAACCATGAATCATGGAGGAGCGCCTTCATCGGAACGCCCTAACTCCCAAACCCCTAAACCCTAAACCCCAAACCCTAAACCCTAAAGGCACTCGAAAGAATGAAGTCTTAAACTCCCCCCAAATTACCCGACAGCTTTCGAAGGCAGAGGGCCTTGGCCTGAAACTGTAGATCCTATTGGGCTTTCGGTTTCAGCCCCTAGCTTGACCCTGAATACCACACCTTTTTAGGGTTCCTTAGTTCCTTATTATGATTTCTGAAAAAATCCATTGAAACAGGTGGGGTATTCCGGGTTTAAAGTAAGCCCTCTCGCTATCCAATCTTAATTAAAACCCTTCAACGCCGCTTGAAGAGGAGAATCACTGCCTTTGGAGATCCAAGGGATTGGCAAGATACGTCGCACACAATGATGTCGATGAGTGGGTGGACTTAAACGAAACTCGTCTTACCCTATGCATCTAAGGACTCATACATAAGCCGGCGGGGGAGTTTATGTAAAGAGCGGCCACGCCGCTTCAGCTGGGGTAATGCTGAGTCCTTATATAACGCTTTTGGGCTATTTTGATGCCCAGGGTTCCGTTCAGACCAAATGACGGTGAAAGGTCGGGGCCTTATGCCCTTCTACTGCAAAAATCCCCATGTGGTATATAAACCTGAAACCCTTTCAGGGTTCATGCCGCCTATGAGGTACAGTGTTCTTTGAAGCGATACGGGGTCCCCGACATGAGAATCTTGCTGCTTGGGGATCTAAATGATGTTAATCGGTGTTTGGCCCTAACCGACATGCCGGCTTGAAATGATGTCGGTTGAGGGCTCCGTTAAAAGCTGCCGGAAGGGCAGCTAGGGGGTTCGCAGCTGGTAGGCTGACGTTTGCTGAGTGAGTGGGCTTAAACGAGACTTGTCTTACTTTGTAGCTGGGTAGGAATTAGTCAGAGTAGACCTTGCCCAGTTTGGGCAATAATGCCACCGCCAACAAATTAGATGATCATTTTTACGAATTCCTAGGGTCCCCCCTACACATCACCGATATATCACTACTACTTCCCCCATTAGATGATTATTCCTATACTCCCCCCTACATTCCACCGATATATCACTACTACTACCCTATTATCAATACAATTCTAGGAATAACCATAACCCCATCTACTATTTCTAAGGTGGCATCATGACTCAAAAGGGGCAAGGGGTTCCTTATAGAATTTGGTTCAGGGTTTGGGGTAAAGGGTTTTGGGCAAATGCTTTCGCCACTCATGCTTGTTAGAATCCCTAAACTCCGCTCTGGGGCTGCAACGACGACCACAACAAGGTCCCACACTGCAGGAGGACTGATGTCGTTTTGCAATTTGCTTGGTCAGGGCTGCAAGTGTTTTTCCAAGCACGTCATTGTGCTGCATTTAGGCCCAAGCTCTGCGCCAGTTGCTCAGAAGTGCTGCATCCTTTCCACTTGCTTTGGCTTGGCATCTCCTTCATCATAGAGTCGTGAATAGAATAGACAAATGACAGTAGCCAGGGTGTAGATTTCCACGGCGATGTCGACGAGCTCCAGTCAGATGTGGTGGTACAAGATCGACCAGCAAGAAGCCCACTTCATCCAGTTCGACGAGAATGACATTGTAGCCACCGTCAAGGATAAACTCATCTTTAAATGTCCCGGCCTGCAAAAGCTGGACCCTGGCCAGATCACCATCAGAAAAGCGTCTGGAGAGGCGCGAGTCAGTAGTAACCCATGATTTGACTCATGACACCGAGTTCCTGTGTCATTAAGATTGTTTTCGTATCGTTTGTGCCTTTGTTGAGGCATTGCCGGTGGGCTCCAAAATATCCCAGTTCGTCACTCAAGGCGTTGGCACAGAGCCTGAGACCGCTGTGCTGGTCGCTGAGAAGACGTCAGTTGCGGCAGGTAGGTCGTTTTTGTATTGATTCTTTGTCAGGACTCACCTACTACCGAGTAGTTGGACACCTAAGTGTGGCTGCACTGTTTGCTCTCGCAGGTGTAGCCACTCATCCAGAAGTTGCGCCCACCGCAGCAGCGGTGCGATTGTCCCTTTCCGAGGAAGCCTTGGGGCAGGTGCAACCATAGCAGTGGATCCGGTGCAGAATCTCATACAGGTCCCGTGATCTTACTGGTTCGAAGGAGACACTAGTCTGTTTCAAAGGTGCGCATTTGCTTTGAAGCTGTTGTCTTGATCAACCATGACCCCAACAGGTCCACTGATGCTGGCATCAAGTCGCGCTTGTGTGACCACATGCGACAATACGCGCTTGGCACCTTGGGTGGAACCGTGCAGCGAAGAGAGGACGTGACCGTTGTGACCATTGAAGGCACTTTCGACAATATGCGTGCGGTTTTGCAATGGATGGAGCAGACGATGCGCTACCCAAGAGGTGAGATCCGGAAGAGTCTCATCCTCCAGGCCAAACATGTACAGTTCAGGTTGTTGAAAAGCTGCCCGGAGCCACGGTCAGAGCATTCTTCTGGCAACGTTGCCGATGAAGGAACCAGTGTCTCATCACTGTCAGATGCAAGCACCCCAAGCCGAATCAGCTAAGCTGGGATTCGTGCTGAGATTGGAAAAAGTCTCAGTGTCATTTTGTGTGTTTGAGTTGGAGTCGGCAAATTAGCAAGTGTAGATGCATGTAGGCTGATTGGGTGCAGAGATGATTTGCAGACCTGAGTGCGTAAAGCACAAAGCATGCGTTTCTTGGTGGCCCTCCCCGGCGGGGACACTCCCCCAACCCCAAACTCACTACCTCCCACTCTCCCCGGCGCGAGGAGAAACGACAAGCTCAACGTCAATCCTCGTTCTCTACAACATCACCGAGAACGCGCAGACCGACATCTACCTCCACCAGTGCCTTGGTTAATATATAAACAATACTTTCAAAAAATAAAACAATAAAAGATAAAAATACAAAAAATAATAAGCCCCAAATTTTGAAACATAACGGCTTTAAAACGATAAAAACACAAATATCACAACAAAACATTGGAAAAGCCCATACACAAACAAGCAGAAAACAAAAAAACACCAAAATCAAGTTTGACACCTAGGGTGTAGTGAAATTTTAGGGTTTAGGATGCTTCAAAACGATAAAAACGCAAAACGTGCAACAAAAGCATTGGAAAACACCATACACAAACAAGCAGAAAACAAAAAAAAACACAAAAATCAAGTTTGACACCTAGGGTGTAGTGAATTTTTGGGGTTTAGGATGGTCACCAACAATAACAGTATAATATTAATAATGTTATAATATTAATAATGTTATAATTGTTTTATGCCAACGAAAACACATACTCCACATACTCCATAATTTCTTCGGTTGTGGTGTTATAATGATCCCTCCAACCGATCAACCAAAAATCAAAACATTCGCGTATTATTTCCTTTACTATAACTTCCTTACTAATTTCAAAGCCGTTAAATCTTATAGTAGCGGTTTTAATCTTATAATATGCGATTTCCTTTTTAACCTTTCCTATATCGGTTAAACGGCTAATGACACTATACAGTAGCATCACGTGACATACACCGTGAAACATGAGACGCTCGCGGTCTGAATGGTTGCTGATGTTCATAAACTGCTTCATTATCTTTCGCAGTGGGTTATTTGATCTTTTGATGATGTTTTTGTATTTTCGCCTATCCATGATTGTATCAATGTTGTGATTACGATATAACAAGTGTATTATTATTTTTCGCACTTTGTTTAACTTTGAAAATTTGGGGTTTTCATCAAAATCTTCGAAATTTTAAATCTTATTTCTACACTTATCGCACTTGTCATATTCGCATACACGATTACATATATCAATCGGTAACTTGCTAGTTAATACTCCTACTTTGTTCATTTCTTCGCACTTCCAACAACTTTCAAACTTGAACATGTCCCTGTTAATCTATATAGGTGTTATTTCTTTAGGTGTTTTCTTAAGAAAGTTTTTTATCAAAAGAAAAAATAAACTTGTAACAACTCAAAGCGTAAATAAGCCCTATCATTCCCTGATACATAATAATATTTTTGGCCCAGCTTTTCATCAATTTTTTCTATGGTATAAACATTTTGGCTGAAATTGCCCACTCTTTCTTTTTCATTCGGTTTCTTTTTCCTGAATATTCTCACTTCGTCTGAAACCTCAACCTCGGGATAGACCCGATCTCGTTTAGCATTCATACTTAAATGCAGTTTAACTTTTAATTCGTTGCTCGGTTTTCTGGCATCCTTTGGGGTGAAACCAGTAGCGGAATGTTTCATTTTATTGTTATATGTTAATAATATATCAAAAATGTAATCAGTCCACTGAATATTGTCTTTACCCTTTTTCTGATCCGCCTCAACACGCCGATATAATAAATCTTTGAACGTCCTAATGGCCCTTTCGCTGAAATTTGCGTGTGCTGTAGTTCTATAGTGTTCTATGTTCTGTTCCTGTAAATACTTTTTTATTGCCTCCGTGTTCATTGCTCCCTCGTCGTCGGTATAAATTAGTTTGGGCTTCTTCCCCATTTTATGTAAGCATTCAATCATCCCACTCGCTATATCTTCTTCCTTCTTACCTTTAATTGCCACGACATGCATAAACTTATCAAATATATCAATCATTAACATTCCTATTCTAAATTTTTGATCCTTCAAGTCGTTGATAAAAAACAAATCCATTTGATACTCATATGCTGAATGCGGGGCGACAAAGCTATTTGAACCGACGGGCTTTCGCTTTTGATCAACATTCTTCCTAAAAAACTCGTTAATATCAGACATTGTGATGGTTTTATCTTTCTCCCGTGCTTCTTCTAAAGTCCGGCTTTTTGAGCCAAACCCCGCGCGATCAAAATACATATCATTAATTATTTTTTGTTTCTCACTCATATAAAAAACAAAAGAAAATAATGATTTTAATAATTAATTAAATCATCATTCGTCATCCATCGGCTTTATGATCTTGAACTTGCTCATATCATATTTGGGTGTGCCGCGCTTTGCTTTAAAAGGCTTTTTTGCATTCATTATTTCAGACAGCAATTCTTCTGTCAACTCATCGGTGTTCAGTTTGATATTGTTGGCTTCTTCATACTCCTTGATCTTCTTTCTCTGATTGTGTCGTAGTGCAGATTCTCGTTTCTTTTGCATATATTTTTCATCATTTCTGCGCTTGTTGTAATACAATCTGCTGTATATGGCGAGTTGCTCTTTGATTTCATCCATTGTCATATCCTCGGGATTTTTACTCATATTTTACTATACTATATATTATTTTTTATCTTTAGACATATTTCTATATATTAAAAAAACATTTAGTGTTTTTAAAAAATCCTTGGAAAATTTATACTTAAAAAGAAAATAAATATATAGTTTAATTATATTAGTATATGTCCAAAGCCATTAAGCGTAATACGGAAGCACTACAAACATTTTTTAACAACAGAAGA